GAAAGAATGCTGTTTGTCTGTGTTTTACGTAAAAACAAAAAAAAATTATTTGCGACACGTTACCAGTTGCGCACGCAGAGAGATGAGAATTTCACTCTATCCTGTTGGCAAATTGGGCTTATTAGCCGGCGGATTTTGCTATGTAAAATTTCGTCACAAGCTGACTTGGGCTTAATACGCGGCTGGGCCTATTAACCGTGCGCTTAATAACCGGCGCCTACTCTACTGACTTTTTTTGGGTTAGCGCCCTCGAAGCAGGCCTTTACTGCAAACGTCACGTTAACCCTACCCTATGTCATCCACCTTTTGACTATTTCACGCCAGCAGGTCGATCCATGCATATTCTCCTGCCTGTTTGTTCCAGGTATAAGCATACACGTTTTCTGCATGCAAATATACCTTCCATTTTATCAAAATATTTCCTTGCCTTAAGGCTGCTGCTCAGGCAGTCCTAGTGGGATGCGGAGACGTTAACTGGCGGCAGCAGTCCCTTATGTGTGTGCCTGTGTATATCGTGGGTGTTGCTGTTGCCGGTGCACCAGTATGTGTGCGTGCCTATGTTTGCGGGCATCATTGCTACTGTGTGCGTGTCCAGGCCTTAGGTTGTTTACCAAAGTGTGCTACTCGAAACGAAACTACATAAGAACCTTACCGCGGAAAGCACACAATTCTCTATTTATAATTGCATTCACGAAAGAGCAACTTCCAGACATTGAACAGGCGCCTCCTAGGGTTTTACTTGCTTTATCGGCCTAACCGAAAACTCGCTTATATTTTAACAACACCCTGCGGAATTTGCTGCTATTGACCCGACCCCCCCCCGCCACCCAGCCAAGATATTTGCCGCAGCATTTAAATTGCATATCTCCATTTTTGATACAGGCGAATTGGTGATGATCCCCTCGCATACTTCCGTCTACACCATCTGCTGGTATTCAGTCAGTCAGTCAGAAAAAATGTAAAATGGTCACAACTTCCGGCGCTATGCTGATCCTAACACAGATTAGGGACCCTAATCTGTACATGCATGAGACTATCCTACGGTTAAATCTGATGACAGTTTCTCGACCCAGTTGGTAATTTCAGGCAAATGAAGTTCATTTTTCCAGCGATTACACCCTAAGCGGACTGTGGCTATTGCGGTGTGTTCGTACTGTGTCGAGAGGTTGATTGGCGCTTCTGTTGTCATCGGTCTTTATTCAAAGGATATTTTCAAACTAAAGTAGACGCTCTCACTAAAAAAAGATCTCCCTAACATATCCTCCATATTCCCTTTCGGGAAAGCCTTCTCTCATACTTTCGTTATATGCTGCGCACATTCAGAAATTGCAAAGGAAAGTGTTCCGTGTTTCATTGTCTTTGAAAGCAGGACCTCACTGTTGACAAATAGCGACTTACCTGCTGGCCATGTTCTCCTTGAACTTTGTCCCCTTGGTCGAAGAACCCCTGGAATTCTGTCTTTAACCTGCACGTAAATGGTGTACTCCCTGTATGGTTTCAACCCGGAGAATGTGTGTGAAAACACATCTGTCCCAACTAAGATGGAATCGCTGAAGTCCTGGCCCACTATCTCCAGTTTGTAGCCATCTTCATCTGGCAAGGTGTAATTGGGACGCTTCCATGTCACCTGAATGCTTTGTGAACTGAGGACAACGGCCTTTACGTCATTGGGCATTTCAGCATCTACGGGGAATTGTTGAAGGACGTGTTTAAAGGTAGTTAAAAAGCAACTTGCATCCTCTACTTAAAGGCAAATGTATATTGTCTCACAAAGGTGAAATTGTCCGTGCAAATAATTTATTACACCGGCCATCAATCCATTTCATATACCGGCACTAACGTCACTAGATAATTATTTTAGGGGTTTCGGCAGATTTGCTTAATTTAATTGACCCAATTGTGAAAAAACTCGCGGTGTCGGCGGGGGTCCAACCCGCACAGCCTAGAATGTCTTTACGGGAAGCCAACGCTCTACTTCCATGCCTAACACTATTATGGTGAAGAAAGCCATACTGCAGCAGGTCGGTAACCTGCCAAATCGAATCTTTTTGTAATATTACACTCATGGAAGGAGAAGCACAAGAGCAGTTAATGTCTTTCATTGATGCCTTTGTTTAGCGAAGTCTCAGTGTTAAAATTTTGCAGAGTTTTGGATTAAGCATTGCGCACCATACGAGTTCTCAGCCTTCGCATCAGTCGTCCGATAGCTCACAAAAGAAACTGTGTGCGGGAAAGCACTCCAGCCGCATTAATACTCATTGCGAGAGGACAGAGAAAACGGCACGCGGTATCTGATATTGTCCTGACCAATGTTCGTGGACTGGGTCTCCGAAGGCGGATACCTACGTTTTTAGCCTTGAATAAAAACGCTACCGAGGATATAACACGCTCGGCCATACACTAGTGACATATGAGAAGCGACTGAGTCCATCGTTTCGAGAATAGGCTTTGGATTAAAAACCATATCCCGCCGCCCCAAAGACTAGCTCAAAGTGATAAAGTCGAATCAACTGTCTTCGCAGCGGGTGACATGCGGTCTAACTACTCACCCCACCCCATCCTTTGTATCCAGGTTTCGAGGGCAATTGAAAACTGCGAAGGATGAACTAGGTCACTCTGAGTTGCAGATTCGTCTAGTGCACGCTGAAATGACACCCAACTAGCACTTGCGTCTCCCCGAATGTTGAATATACTAGTACAACCCAAGTGTCTTACACACTCAACTTCGACCTTATGAAAACTGCCTTCTGATTTCCCTTTGGACTATACGAATCCGAAACCATGCCCGTTGGTTTGGCTAATGCGCCTAGCACCTTCCAAAGACTTATGAAACAAGTGCTCGCACAGGTCATACCGAAGACCTGTTTGGGGTAGCTCGATGACATCGTCGTACTCGTGGGGAAATTCTTTGATCATTTGCATAACCTGCGCGTGCTATTCTACAGCATAAAGCAGGCAGGTCTGATTCTTAAGATGGCTAGATGCACACTTCTACGAGCAACGGTCAACATCGCTTCCGCATCCGGGACCGAGATCAATGAGGTAGGGTTCATAGACGTCCAGCGCCAAGAAAGGTGACCGGGGTCTGCATCTTCTCTGGCATCACTTTCTACTATATGCAGCTCATTAAGGATTATATCCGTATAGTCAATCACATAAACAAGCACGCCCAAAAGAGGAGTAAGGCAAATTAGGGCAGGCGCATTGTGGTGGCCTTGCGCTCAAACGCTCTTGGTTTTGATGACTCTGTCTTGACACCAGCTGTGCGAGTGCGTATAGG